AGCAGCTCTGCTACAACTCCGCCTGAATGTGGAAGTGGCATTTGCTGAATTCAAGGTGGCATCTTTTCAATTAGGGAGTGAAATACCTTTTCAGCCTCTCGAGTGGCCCGGCGAACTGCAGCCAAGAGGGGCCCTGGCTGTATAATGATGCCTGGCACAATAGTACCACTGTTCCCCCAACCCGTTCCCAGGAAACCACACAACATGTGCCATTGTGTCCAGTGCTTTGCTGCCTGGCCACGTTACCCAGCTTTACCCTGACAAACCCAGAGGCCCGTCGGTGTGCTGGAGCTCACAATAGTGTGGCTGGTTTGGTTGAGGGGGGACAGCTAGGTGAGGACCAGAAGGCTTTCCACCTCATTCTGTGTTTGATTTGATGAATATGCGTCTCTTGAATGAGCTTAAAAGAGTGGGCTAAAAAGCGGAAGAGGTCATGACGAAACGAGGACAGCTGAGGTGTTGCTGTAGAGTGAACCCCCGAGCTGCGCTCAACCTCCTCCATAAAACAGAAAAGAGAAGAGAAAAGTGACAAACAGATAAATGGAGGCACAAAGACGGCTAGAACTGGTGTGTAGCTGGTCCTGGCTGGTTCTTCTCTCAATGCTGGAGGGGTGTTTACCCATCTGTGTGTTCTCCCCCTTTTACAGATCCCAACATGGTCACTATTCTAGCTGCTGTTTATGCACTGGAGCAAAGAAAGATCATGTAGGGCCAGCCAGATAGTGATGGGAGGGATTTAGTCAACAACATCTAGGAGATCCATGTCAAAGGGGCCCTTCTGGGCCCCCCTGAAGCCAGATGGTCAGCTAATGCAAAACAACAGGAGACCCAGGAAGCGAAGGCCCAGTGTGACACAGCGAACTAAAAACTCACGAAGACCTGTCACTTTATCTGTCAATTATTCACGAGGTTTGCCAAAAAACATCCATTCACCAGTAACTCTGGATTTCAGTGGGAGGTTACTGTTTAGCATCTAACGTTTAGTCACAAAGTCACACTAATCTAAATGTGTTTTTACCATGAAAATATAGATATGGGTCAACCGAGAAAGGATGAGATACCTGAAAAATGTAAAATGACAGCAAAAGCTTCTGCTAAACGATATGGGTGGCATGACTTAATTTTTTTAAAGTCGACAGTCAAGTAATGAAAATCGAGTCGACTTCGACTAGTCGTTGGAGACATCATACACCTGAAAGGAGGGGGGGGGGGGGGTCGGGGGTCGGTAGGTTCGCTGGAGTTTTTGAAAATCAAAATTGCTCCCACATTGTCAAAGTTAAACACATTTCTTTTAACAACGGTAGTTTCTGCTTCAGCCCTCTCCCCCCTCCCCCTGCGCAGCGGCCACAAACTCACTGATGCACCTGCAGCCTCTCGGAGTTCCTGCTGCTCTAAACATTAAAATAATGATTTCATTTTCTGTTCCTCACTTCTGATTACCTTCAATGGTGTCTGTTTGTTGCAACCAGCAGGTACAAAAACTAACTTGTTTTTATTTGACTATTTTTCTGTCCTGCCTGTTTATTATCTTCCTGCATCTCCTCTCAGTCCTAAAAAAAAACTGCTACCTGGGTTCATATATATTCACCTTATGAGTTACGTTTGAACTGCAGTTCTAAAAGATCTACCGACCGCATAAACAGCAGAGTGCGTGCTGCTCGCCGGCCGCAGTGCGTCACCGGAGGACAAAACAGATGATGCACCCCGCTCCACAGCAGCGGGGTGCATCAGGCAAAAATAAAAGACATAAAACATAAAAGGAAATGAGCCGACATGAACGATCGCGTTACATTTGTTTTTGAGGTGGCGACACCTGATTTGATAATGTTACTGTGGCCGTGCTCAGGACGCAGATGTCTGGAGCGCGTCAACAATCAGAGCTTTGCATGCGCAAGCTGGTTAAGGTTAGGATGGGGGTGAGGGGAAGGTTAAATTGCAAGAGGGAAAAGGTCACAATTTGGTTAAATGTCAATTTTACGGCGGGTGTCACTACCGACGCTCTGGCACAGCGCGTTGCCTCCGCCTCGATCCAGACGCGCAGGGGCTCGTCACCTGCTGTCTTTTCCGAGGACTGCATCTTGTCATCATCACGTGACACCGACTAGTCGATGACAGGCATAAAAAGTCACTACAGAGCAGTGAGGTCGACTAGTCGACTAGTTCATACAACCCCTACTAAACGATGAAAGGTACTGTTGTCACTTATACTTGCTCCAGGTTTTCTATGGAACACCGTGTATCCCATTGCTTTACTGTTATTTTATAGACTACATTCTGGCCTCTACACTATAGGAAAGGAAATGTTGAATTAATTGCACCAAGTTGTGTCAACTGGTTCCACTAAACCCAATTGCTTCAATGCAAAGAGTAAAATTCACTTTTAACACAACAATGTTTAACAGTGTTTAACACTCAGCTAGGTTTAGAGGAACCAGCTGACACAACTTGGTTAAGTCAATTCAACATTTACCTGTTTCCCTGCTTCAACGCAGTCGAATCACCTGTTCAGCATCTGATCAAGTTCTGCAGAAGCCCGTCAATCACCTGATGATTAAAATCAGGTGTGCTGCAGCAGAGAAGCCTCTAAAACATGCTGGCTAGCGGCTCTCTAGGACCAGAGATGCCTACCCCTTGTACAGTGGAAGACGTCTGAGGAGTCGTAGTAAATTGTGTGGGAGGACTTTCTTAAGTGTACTTTCTCTGTATGTTTTCTGCATTGAGGTACAAGATGTTTCTGTGGAAGCACAGAATTTGACTTTGTTTTGGATTGTTGGAATAATAAACAGATGTTTTCACTGTGGAAATGTGTTTTTCGTCGTCTATGCTTATAAATGCATGAAAATAGGGATGGACAATATATCGGCATCAATATTGGTATCGGCCAATGTTAGTCATATTTTAACATATCGATATCGGTTCGATAAATAAAAGTGGGCCGATATTAACAACCGATATTTTTTCCATCTTGTTTCCATTTGTTTGCATAATGTGTAATTGTTTAGTCATGTGACAGTGATTGTGGTCATCTCAGAAGCGTAAATATGTGTGGTGTGTGTACATAATGACGTAAATTCAGCTTTAATAATTTTCTTTCTATACAAAATCTGCTGATTTTAGAAGCATTAACCCTCCCACTGTCTTTATGGGTGACCCTGCGAGGAAAGTTGACCATTGAGCAGGACTGATGGTTGTTACAGCCCGGCTCGTGGGACTGCAACAAAAGGAGGAGGTCAGGACACAAGGTTAATGTTTAAGAGTATGTATTTTTTATTAAAACCAAGCCTCTAAAAGGCCTCACCAAAAATGCCACACAGGCAAAAGCTACCAAAGGTGCTCTCTCTGATCAGCCTGAATTCCTGATCCCCCTGAGTCTCTCCAACTTGCACTTAGCAGCCTCTTTTTGGCTGCACAGGTGCTGCCACTCATAAAATCCAGGCTGCACACAGCTAAACCAATAATAAAGCAGAAGGGCATCGGCAGAAACATCTGAAGCAGCCAATCAGCTGGTTGCACTGGCACAGCAGTCCCCTAAGAGGATGGGTTCTTGTTTTCTTCCAGTAGCAGGGGTTGTAACAATGGTTTATCCCTTGAGGTCCACGTGGCAGGGGTGAGGTGGTGCTCACTCCTCACCCCTGCCCCACAGACCCAAGGGATAAACTATTAACCCTGCTCAATGGTCAACTTTCCTCGCGGGGTCACACCCATTAGGACAGTGGGAGGGTTAATGTCAGTATATCGGTGTCGGCAAATATTGGTTATCGGCCATAACAGTGATCTTAATGTCAGATATCAGTATCGGTACAAAAATTTTACATCGGTGCATCACTAATGAAAATCTTCACGCACGATTAAAACTTTTAATTGATTGGCAGCCTTACTTCCTCTGTATAACTTTGTGTTTAAACTAAATAAAGGCTATTATTATTAATAACTGTTAGGGTTTTTCTGGTCGTAAACCTAAGTCAGTCAGAATTTTTAGAGATAATTTTTGAGTCTTGATGATACAACTGCATATAAAACATCTCCAGTAAATACTTGTTCATTGTTTAGTTCATCTTGCATTGTTTTAATTAGTTTTGCTAAAGAAACTGGAAAAGTCACTTAAAACACGTCTAAAACCATTGGTTCTATTCCCTCCGAGTATGCTAAAAGAATACTTAAATCATTTTCTTGAGCCAGTACATACTAAAAGGACCCTTTAAAGAGTTCATAAAATGCCACTCAGACCCCCCCCCCGCCCTCTGTGGTAGAATACCGCACTTGCAACTTCAGAGTACCGATCCAGTCTGTTGGAAAACAAAATTGAGCTGACACACCTGGTGCAGCAGTCTGGTTTCATCACGTTTCCTACATGTTTTAGATAATGAACACAACTGATTTGTTTAATTTAGCGACAAACCGCTCCTGTACACTCTAAGGAAGCCTGAGGAGACATTTCAGCTGTTAGGTCAAGGTGTTAAAAAGACAAACGCACAGCAAGAAGATACGTTTTGTTTTGGTTCTACCTAACGGACACTAAGAGGTGCTAAAAGCAAGCCACAACTGACTAGTCTCCCTTTAAAGAGCAAGTCACCACCAAATAAACTTTTTTTTTGCTGATAAACTAAATAAACGAGTTTCTAATCGTGCTGCAGACACGTGTCGTCAATAATTTGGAACTTCAGTGCATCTTAGTTAAAATTTAAATTTTCTGCCTAAAACTGTCAGTGTTGTGCCGTCGTCAGGTAAAAACTCTGCACTGTATTTTAATTTAAATCTGCCACCGCTATTGGCTAAGAGGTATGCTATGATGTAAACTGGTACATTATGATGTCACAATGATGTCGTGAGCCTGTGTGTGTGTGTGTATTTGATAGCAGCTCCGCCTTCTTTGTCTGCCAGGCAACAGCATTTATTGCATTTTTCAAACATGAAGTGGGAGTGGAGTTAGACTCTGGTAGGGGGTGACTTGCTCTTTAAGCTTTATTTTTGACTGACTCCATTTTATTTGGTTTCCACAGATCCCAGGAGGAACCATCTCACACTGACTTCACACACGTTTCAACAGAGAGATTGTTACTTACCTGAGCAGGTATGAGTGAAGACAAACTAGCGGGGACTCTGGAAACATCTGCAACGGATGGGAACGCCATTCCTAATGGTAAAGGTCATGAACCTGGAGAAGAGATTGCTGCTTCGGCTAAAACATCCCTTGCAGTGGACTGTGAAAAGTGAGTCCAGCAGACCTTCTCCATGTCTAGGGCTGCACGATATTAGGAAAACCTGCGATATTCGATAACAGTGCTTAATATTGCGATATCGATATTACTCACGATAAATGAACAAATACTAAAGTGTGCAGTGTTGATGTCGTCTGGCGTTTGACGTCTGCTCTGGGCTCAAAGCAAACAAAAACTAATGCATGAATCCCATTACAACATAACATTTTTATTGCAAACATATGCAGCTGCACCTGCTACTGTATTAGCAGCAAAACAACAAACTGCATGCATGCAGTTTCTCAGTGACTTTAAAACATCACCTCCACCATAAAACTTTTTCTGATGCTCCAAATACAGAAAAACATCCCTTACCAGGGTTTTTTAGAATAAATAAATAAAAAAAAACAACAACCAGAAAATAAGTTTAAATGTTAAATAATAGTTGACATCACTTGAATGCAACAGCAAATTCTCTCATTGCTACTGAGCATTTTCTCCACGTATGTGGTTATGATATAAGGCTGTTGCTGTAATTGGGAAGTGAACTGTGCTGTGTCAAACTAGGAGAATATTAGGATTTTTTGAGGGAAAGAGAAAAACAATTGTCTACCTTTCAGAAGAAGAACTGGCAAAAAACTACATGGAAAATTTGTGAAAATGTTTGGTTTTAACCCCAAATTGAACAAGTTTACCTAGATCTTAAAAAGCAGCTCAGATGATGAAACTGCAACTATGATTCTGATAACAAGCTAACTAATTGAACAAGCTCCTCTTAAGATAACCGGCTAGCAGAGCTTCTGACTGACAGTTTATGTGCAGCAGCAAATCAACTATCCTGATTAACAAGGCTATAAAAGCTCATAAATGAAAAATCACTTTGATGTGTGGGGGAACTTTTCCAGGCCCTCTTTAGCAGGGTGGGACTGGGAGGAGAGTGCTGTAGCCTTTTAGCTGGAAGCTAACCAGAGCCTGGGGCTAACATCACCACCCGGTGGAACACTAGCGACATGAAGGTGGGTTGGTTCACCGGCACATGTCGGAGTCAGCCCGGTAAAAATGATTAACGACACCGAGCGGACTCATGTTCACGTTTGAAAGCAAGCGCTGATTCCAGAAACCTCAACACGAAGTGCGTTCGTTGCTCTGAGCCAACATGACGAACAAGGGAACGGGGCCGCTAACTCAGTTTGGGTGTTGCATTCCATCCTAAGGGTCTACGTAGGGGGCGGGCGTATTACGTGAATGGACCCATCTGATTGGCCGCATATCAGAAGAGCTACATTTGATTGGTCAAATAATACTTCCGCGTAAAAAACAGAGCTGATTTACAAAAAGTTGATATATGACACGGATGGAAATGTTTAACCAAACATTTATCGCCGTTTTTGACGTGCTTTGCGATGGGCCTATTGCACGTCCTGTTATCCCGATGACAATAATTTTTCGATATATTGTGCAGCCCTATCCATGTCCATCTCCAATGTAAAGACTCTCATCTAAAATATCTGTTAGCCTGATTTCAGCAAGCTCACGACTTCTGCGATGAGCCATTTCTAATGAGATTGTTTTCATCATTGTAGATTGTTTTGACATTCATCTTTTGAAACACCAATAAGGTAACGTCACAAAGTTTATGGCGGATGAAGATTCAGACACCGGGTGTTTCCCAATGTCAAGGCGCCTGGCCTGGCGAGGACACTGTCCTGCCTTGGTCAAAGAAAACGGTTAAATAGAACAGACTTGCATTACGTGACCACGGCTTCCACGGCAGTCACGTAACATCACGTGACACGGGAGATAACGTCATATTTTATACGTATTAGTTTCAGTATAAATATATAATGAGCCTTTTTTACTTTCTAAATTGTGTATATGTTTATTAAATTAAAAATATAAGTGAGTTACTACCTGCTAGCCACCGAAGCTGCAACTACTAATCAACTAACCAACCATAGATAACTTCTTTAGATCTAAAAAACCATTTTAAATTAGCGGACTTACTTTTAAACTTGAAAATTGTCCCTGAAGTAGCTGCCGGCTTCTGATCCGCTGTCCTTTTGGAAATACTGCGGTGTATTCTGGGTAATTTTTGACCAAGGCTAGGCTACAAGACATTCCGTGTATCCTCGCTCAGCTAGCTAAAAGGCTAACAAATGGAGAACACACTCCTCGGTAGAACATGAACATTGAAACACATCTTGGCGGCTCCTGATGGCGTATGTCCTAAGCAAACGGGGCGGGGCCAAGACATCAAGGCAAGGTTCCTTGGCATTGAGAAACATCCAATGTGTCCTTGGACAAGACGCTTAACCCACCTTAGTGCATAGTGCCTCCTCCAGGTCAGGGATGAGGTCCTGCCCCAAGTGGAGGAGTTTAAGAATTAGGGTCTTGTTCATGAGTGAGAGAAAGACGGAATGGGAGAGAGATAGGCGGATTGGTGCTACATCTGCAGTGATGCGGGCATTGCACCGTTCTGTCGTGGTGAAGAGAGAGCTGAACCAGAAGGCAAAGCTCTCAATTTACCAGTCGATCTACGTTCCTACCCTCACCTATGGTCGCGAGCTTTGGGTAGTGACCAAAAGAACGAGATCATGGATATAAGCGTCCGAACTGAGGTTTTCCAGGCACGTCCAACTGGGAGAAGACCTTGAAGGAAGACTCAGGACACGCAGGAGGGACTTTGTCTCTCAGCTGGCCAGGGAACTCCTTAGGATTCCTCCAGAGGAGCTGTACCAAGAGGCTGGGGAGAGGTGGTCAGGGTCTCCCTGCTTGGGCTGCTGCTCCCCGTGACCCGACCTCGGATAAGTGGAGGAAGATGGATGGATGGATGGATCATACACTTTTAACCTGACTTGCATAATATTTTGGCCAATGGGCAGAAACTGTGCAGAAAGGCAGCAGCCAGGATTTGAACAAACGATCTCTTGGCTGTGAGGCAGCAGTGGTACCAATCGTACCACCATGCAGCACTGCTGAAAAGCAAATTCAGAATCCACATATTCAAACATTAACATTAAAAATTGTCCCTCTGAAAAGTAACCTGCTGACTTGCTGTTAGAGGGCTAATAGACTGAGCTGTGGACCCAGTCATCAGGCGCTTTATGCTCCTGCTGATTAATACGTAGTTTAATGTCCTCTCTTCAGGATGATGATTAATTTGAAGCTCCTTGTCTTTGCATTTATTATCTTGTGACTGTGGGTGTTGTTTTTCCACTTTGTGCTTGCGCTGGGTGATGGATGGCACTTCTCTACACTACTTGTAGGGAACCTGTAGCCAATAATACCCAGAATGCTAGGTACGTATGACCATAATGAAGAGATTTTGTGTTTGACAGCTGTGTGGAAGGAAAGGTGGTTTTGTTTAAGAAAAAAGATGGATGAGGGGGTACGTTACATGTCATGTTCTTACAGCTGTGTTTCTAATTTTCAGTCCTCGCAAGAATGAAAATAGAGAATCCAACCTCCCGGAAAGCCAGGAATTCCTATCAGGCAGGGAGGAGAAGAAGACAACGCGCTTCACCGATGTGAGGATCCACACGGATCAACAGTGCAAATCTCTAAAACCACTCCTTTATGGAGACAGGTTTCTTTAGGCTTTGAGTGTTTTATTGGTTTCCTTTTCTGTCTAGTCGATGTGCCTGATCAAACCAGCAGACTTTCCAGGTTCAGGGTTTCTGCAAGTTTCATTAAGTTACATTTAGAACTTTTAACAAATTTAAAATAATTAGCTTCCAATTAACAAATATTGTTTTAAATCTGCGAAAGTGAATCTGCAAGACAAGCTAGCTTTTAAACACAAACATGGGTGGAACACTCACCCTTCGCGTTTGCTATCATCCCTAGGCCACACACCCCTGACCTAAAATAATGTTAGCAAATCAATGAACTGAAAGTCTTAAAGAAAAAAGTTTTTAAAAAGTTTGGCAACAACTTAAAAATGGACCTGATCAAGCTTCGCCTGATCAGATTTATGACACGTTTTAAGTCAGACGTCAAATCACTTTGTTGGTGTCGAAGTAGCGCTTAATTCCCAAAACTGGTAGGTTTGGGTTAGGGTTAGCTAGTTACTAGCTAAAACAGATTTAAAACTGATCACCTTGCTAAGGAGACAAAGTGAAACATAAGAAAATGTTAAGCAAATGTGGTAAACTACTAATCAAAACCACCATCACACGAGAGTTCTGGAAGTGCTAACCTGTTCATGACCAACTTCTCTTTCTTTTGTGTAGTTTGAAGGAAAAACCTCATTTGGGATGTCTGTCTTCAACCTGGGCAATGCAATCATGGGAAGTGGAATTCTGGGACTTGCGTACGCCATGGCCAACACGGGAGTCATCCTGTTTCTGTGAGTTAATGATGACGACCAGGGGCGGTTTTAGGACTGAAGAAGATCCGTGGCTTACACACACGCACACGCACACGCACACGCACACACACACACACACACACACACACACACACACACACGTGACACGCACTAGTCAACATCAAATATATTTGTCTTGTACCACATAATTTTTAATCTGAAGCTACATATTAAGCATATTCAGGGCAGAGTATTGTTCCTGTTAGTGTTTAGTGTGAGATGATAGTAAATATTCCCTTTCTTTCTCCAACAACTTTACCTGATAGAAAGCTAACTTTAGGCAAACCAGCAGCACAACAAATATTTTCAAATAAGACTCACAAACCTGAGTCAACACCAGTCTCATCAAAGCTGGGGTTCTGTCGCGGTACTTTTGGTCTAAAAAACGTCCTTATGTCCATCTTCACTCATGCGTTTCAGGCAGAGTGTAGAAGAAGCTGGCTGCTGAAGGGCTTCTTCTTCAGTGGTGGAGGCTCAGGCAGGCTGTATACAAACTACTGCCAGCTGCTCCCTCTCTGTTGGACTTTGGTACTGCATGTTACTCCCGCGATTTAGATCCGGGGCTTTCCATAAAACATCCGGGGCTTCAGCCCAAGTAGTCAGGCCTAACGCCGCCCCTGATGACGACACATTAAAGCCACAATGCTGTGACTGCAGATTAGAAGCATTTAGTGAATTATGCTTCCCAGAATCCTTTTTTAATCTGGACCCTCTAAACTGTTTCCAATGCAAATGTGTTTCAGACATAAATAGCATCTAATTGTTCTTTAATCGTCTGGTATTAAATCTGCAGCATACCTTATTTGTGCTCAGAAAGGATAAATACTCACAAAACAAACACCCTAAAAGGGTTAAAGAGAAATAAAACTTGTCAAAAATGGATCACACAATGACAGACGGGTGCTTTGGGACACTGTCTCTTCTAAAATAACATCTTAAAAGCCAAACCAAGGACAGGATGTTTGGATTGTGTGCTTGCTAAAGCAGATTTTCTGTTTGTTTGTTCATGAGTGTTCTAGCTGTTACATTAGCCTGGTTTCTTCCACAGTTCTCAGAAGAAAGTGGTCTGCCTAAAAGGAAATTTCACACAATGGCAAAGTCTGCTTCTCCTTTTCCTCTTCCATAGGCTGACCATACGTCCTCTTTACCCCGGACATGTCCACTTTTCACTCTGTCCGGGGCGTCCGGGGGGCTTTCCTACATGGATCAAAATGTCCGGTGTTTCATCCAGGAGCAGGGATCGAGTTATGGGGGCTACATAGCTTTTAGGGAAAGATCCAGTTTCTGCCTATATTACAATATTCATGGACTCTCAGTGTAACGGGATTCTGTTGAGCGGAGAGGATGTAGAGCGCTGATCATTGGTGCGCCCCCTGCGTCCGGCGCACGATACATTCTCAAAAGTGGCGCAACATAACATTATTATTAACACATGATCATTCATATCTATTTAAATCCTCTGGTATTCTGTCTTTTAATCGTTCCTGACACGCTCCGCAATTCGTGTGCTGCGGTGATTTCACCTCACTGACGCAGCATCGTAACACGCACTCCGCTTTGCGGTCAGGAGATCCCTTTGATCTGCTCAAACGTAACCGATGAGGTAAAAAAGTAATAATCCAGGCAGCAGTTTTTCTGGAGATTTAGAGGAGATGCAGGAAGATGAGAGACAAACAGGACAGGAAAATAGTTAAATAAAAACAAGAAAACAAAGTGTTGAAAAGTAAAATGTAGGCAGATTTATCTCCACTACACGTTTTTACCTGTATAAAACCATAAGTTATACACATGTAATATTTATACATCTGACACAATTCAGATCACTTTCAAAACTCAGTCACACACCCAGGGCCGTTTCAAGGCATTTTGGGGGCCACGGCAAAACGGATGATGAAACTATGATCTCCTTTTGGAGTTGTTGCTCACTTAGAAACAACATCAGCAGCTGATCATGTTTTTGCATATTTGTGTCACGATTAACGCGATCTGATGATGTTTTCCAAAGACCTCTTAAAGGAGTCATGTCTAGAGGATTTTGCCTCCTAAAGCTTCTTACTTTGATCTGACTTGTGTGACTGCAGGTTTTTACCCCTGTTTTCTGAACGGACTGAGTTATTTGTCACTAAGCTAGTTGTGTTTGTGTCACTGGGTTAAAAAGGAGCTAAAAATAATCCCCCAGCAAGCTGGGCTACAGTATTTATTTGTGCAATCACTCGTAAATTGGCAGTACGTGACTTTGTGCACCTGCACATCCTGTTGCAGATAAAAGGCTGTTTGTATATCTGATCTGGTGCTGAACAATGGACGAGCTGCTGAGAAACACAGGCTGGATCCGTGACATGCTTGGCAAAGAAGTGTCGGCTAGTTTTCTGTGACCCCAGGCTGACGATGGTCCCCCTTTTTGCTTTTCTTCAGCAGGCTGAACCATTCTGAGCCTCGGTCATATCGAAGATAGTGAAGCAAAACGAGAAATGTGTAAATGGTTGTATCTTCTCCTGATGGGCTGTTGTCTAGCTTTAGCTCTGGGGATAACTGACCTTTACCCTCCCTCTTCAGGGAGCAGAGGCATCATTAACACAAGTTAATATTTATGCCTATTGACTGATAACTCCCACAGGAGGCGTCACAGCTAGCAGCTGGAGAATAAAATCAACAATTGATTGTGCTTGAAGCACTCTGTCTCTCGTCCGTTCGTGTTTGTGGTCGTTCTGGATGTTGTCAGGACTGTAGATGAGGAGAAAGTTAAAATGCTGTCTGTTGTGAGAGTAAAACAAATTTAAAATTATTTGCTAATTACTTTAAACGCCGGTGACAAAAAGTGTAAAAGGGGTTTCTCGTGATCGCAGAATCACTCCTGACTCAGTCAGCTTAGAAATGCTTGTGTCATCAGGGAAGAACAAATCCATTGATGAAATAGCATGGTCATTCTGGCAGTGTGTACAGGGGCGTATCCAGGGAGAGCCCTGGGGTAGCACATGCCACCCTTGGAATCTGATTGACCACCCCACTGAGGTTCATTTCAATTAAATTCACATTGTTCACAAAACGTTTGAGGTTATAAACCCCAAACCAGTGGGTGGCAGCGTGTACCTTTAACGTTGGTTTCTAGCCCCGGCCAACACAAAGTGTCTGTTTTCTACTTCTTCTTCCGGCTCTTGGCGGGTGCAGACACTTTTTTTCCTCCTCTTCTCCATATCTTATCCTCAAGGCCTTTGTCTGTCTCTGGGTGCTGGGTGCATGGCTGCTTCTGCATTCTTCTGGAAACTGGAAACTGAAATACATTTAAATGGATCTCGTGAGCTGGTCTCTCAACGCGATTGATACAATTTTTTCAACGATGAGAGCGGGAGAAGGGGCTCCCGGATGTCCTGCCGGTAAAGACCCAGTTGGACACATCCTGGACTCCTGGAAACAGTGGAACTTGGTCTGTCTTTCTCAGCTGTCTGTGGAGGACTCTGAAGACGTGTGGATATTCATGGTGTTGGTGTCAGGTTTCCTGCTCATTGGCCTTGGAGGCTACCTGGCTTACCGGAAAATTAACGAGCTGTCGAGGAATATTGGCCTGATCCCGGAGCTCAGAGATGGTTTGCACCGCGCTGTGAATTCACACTCACATAATTGTCGAGATGCATCGTAAGCTTGGAACTTTGGCGGAGATTCATTCTTTGGCACAAAAGATGGATGCCATCAAGGATAGAGTGGACGAATCAGCACGGATTGGGATAGATTAATGTCCATTATTGTGATTCTGAGAGGTTGAGGACCAACAAACTGTAAGACAGAGAGGAAATTATCTCTGTCTGGCCCCAAAATAATTTCTAATCGGAATCTGGCGCCCTTGAGCCTGCAAGGCTCCAACGAAAACTCCCCCCTCAGAAGATATGTGGAATGTGCTGTCGCTATGGCAACTAAACTCTGTCTCCTTTCCCAGCCTGGGCGGGACTGCAGGAAGGCCGCTGAAACGTTCCAGGGTCACTGCAACCCTCCAACCCTCAATGCTCCCCCCCTATCCACACGGAGGTGACATGCGCTGCTTCTATCGTGGCTTCAGGAACTGAAGTGGGGATAGTCCCAACCCACCACCCCACCTAGTGGACACTTATGTTGTGTTGTCTGAAGTCTGTTGCATATCTCTGTTTGAGGTGTTTTTTGCAGAGCAAAGCTGCCCTCCTTGTGGGAGGGTAACTCTGAAGTGCCTTTTTCCCTCCTCTTGAACCAACCGTCATGTAACCCTCTTATCTCTATTAAGGTAGCGCGACTCAGGGTTGCGAATGACCACAGTCACCAATTCTTGTCATGTGTCTTGCCCATGCATGTCTGATCTCTGAATTGTGTGTACTGAGACTCGAATTTCCCTCTGGGATTAAAAAAGTATCTTTGATTTGATTTGATCATTACTATTATTTTTTCATGTTGACATAAATCGTAGTTAGCATCCTGGTCCCAGTCCCATTCCACTCCAGTTGGTGGCAGCTATGCAGCAAGAAGAGGCTTGCTAACCACAACAGCTCAAAGAAGAAGAGAGAAAAAAATGGTTATGATACAAAATGAAACTCGCAAATTCCCTTGATTGCAAAAGAATAATGATTATGTCTATCTGGACTCATCAGACCACATGACCTTCTTCCGTAGCTCCAGAGACCAATCCTTATGCCTCTCACTGATGGTTTTCTCACGGCTACACAGCCCTTCAGGCCCCTTCACAATGTGCGTGTAGGTGCATGAAATCATGCAACAATAACTCACATAAACCAATATAAAATGTACACCGGTAGACTTTGTTGAAAATGCTTGTTATTTTCAGAAAAAAAACACAAAATGAACATGAATGTTTATGGATTTTGCACACGTTTATGGAAAGCATCTTACCGTTTTAACCTAACATACTCTATTTAGTCTGTGAGAAGAAAATTCATGCATACAAATTCTGTGCTGAAAGGCCACAGCTAGAATTTGAACCTGCAACCCTCACACTGCAAGGCAACACCTGCCTTTACATTCAGATTTAGATTTGACTTTTTCCCCAAATATTTTTTATTTGACTTTTCGCTGTTTCATGCAGATAATTAAATACATATGAAACGAGCCTTTTGTGCGTTTTTCTGGTGGCATGATGCTTCAGACCCCTCAGATGCTCCTGTGGGTGTGGGTCAGAGGGAGACTGGTCCTGGTCTGGGCGGGAATGCAGTGTGGGAGGAAAATCCCTGAGTGGAGTAACAGTCACCCAAGTGTGTCAGTCTGTCTGACTTCAGCAGATCTGTCTTCCCACTGAGGCCTGACGGACTGAGTCCTCGCCTGCAAGTCAGCCCAGCGTTCTCTCACAGAGTTTGTGGAAGAAAAATAAACTGCTTATTGGCCAAGAGTTGAAGCGGAGGTGAAAGACGGGCTGCTTAGTCGTTACCAAAGGAGAGAAGGATTGAGAGAGTGCTCATGTGAGAGCGAAAGTTAATGTTGCCAACGGTAACGACAAAAGGCGGAACAGTAAATGGTTGGAATGAGGTGGTTTGGGTCAGAAAAAGTCAGGACCATTCACGAAACGTCTCAGGCTGAGGAGTTATACCAGTGGTACATTCTGAGAAAATTCCTGAAATTGTTCCTGAAACATTTTGTTCAAAAAGTGCAGCAACGGGTGAAAAGACCTACTTTTAAACGTATGTACAGTTGTGACTGTGGTGAGTTTAAATAGGCCAACATGATAGGTTATCTTCTTGTTTTGGAAGGTTTGATTGCATCAGGCTAAAGAACTCGCTTGGAAAACTAGTTTTATGAGAGCAACTGTAAAATGGGATTTTCCCCTCAGATTATCACAACAACCAAATAATCCAATCAAATAATTAGAAAGGAAGACACATGCTAATGCATTATGGTGTGGTTACATGTGGTATCGCAATAATAATGCAGATACATAGAACCTCCACTGCTCTAATTACCTGCTGCAGACTTAGTTACAATAAAATGAGTGAGGAAAGACATATTATCACAATAAAATGTTTTATTAAAATAATCACTTTTTTAACATGAAAAGCTCATCTGATGTGTTTGTGTGTCAGTCCCTGCGATAGAGGGCAGCCAGATGCATGGGGTAACCTCAGCTGGGCCAACAGCGTGGTGTGAAACAGAACCACAGGGTTTTCTAACCCAATCTGTGCACACAGAAAACAATTCTTCTACTGCAGCTGTAGAAATAACCTGCTGGATACCCTATAGCGGGGGTCTGGAGGGCCGGCATCCAGCACGTTTTAGTTTGAACTCGGTTTCAGCACACCTGATTTCAATCAGCGGGTAATTAACATGCTGCTGCACAGGTGATTCAACCGCCAAATCAAGTTTGTTGGAGCAGAGAAACCACTAAAACATGCCCTCCAGGACACCCGGCCCTAATAGTGTTAAAATCAACCAGAAAACCAAAGTAAAACTGTGGATGTGTTTGTTTATGAATGCAAATCTTTTCTTTCCTTTTTTAGGCTCCTTTTAACAGCGGTGGCAGTTCTTTCATCATATTCCATCCATTTACTACTAAAGTCGTCTGGTATTGTAGGTACGTACGCAGTTTTAAACAACACCCGTTCTACTGAAGTTATACCAGATCAGTCTGAAACATGAACCTGCCCTGAAACGTACCGCCAACATAATTGAATTTAGTTTCAGCCCGTTGCTCTGGATTATATTCTGTTATCTTGTGGTTCAGGTATCCGTGCGTACGAGCAGCTCGGCTACAGGGCTTTTGGGACTCCGGGGAAAATGGCAGCCGGTATTGCCATCACTCTGCAGAACATCGGAGGTGAGGACCTTGTCCTAGCGTGTGCATGTGTTTTCATGGATGAATCTCAGTGATCTGATGTGTGGGAGCTTTGTCTTTGTTCTGTATGTTTGGTAAAACCTTCTTTATTTATGTCTCTGCTCCACAGCGATGTCCAGTTACCTTTACATAGTCAAGAATGAGTTTCCTTTGGTCATCCAGGCGTTTCTGAAGGTGGATAATCCAACAAGGTGAGTGGAAACACAGCTCTGTTTGGGAGTTTGTGCACGCTTACTGTCAACATAAACGTCATGGAGGAATCGAGTGTCTGGTAATTGGAGTCTACCGTAGAAATGCATGGCGTACAATGCATTGACTCCATCGTTCTTCACTTAGAAATCAGTCACATCATCTATTCTTTCATCAACCAAGTGTTGGTCAAATGGAAGAGAGCACCCACAAAAATCATACTTAAAGAGGTCCTTCATGCATATTTGAATACATTTGCGGTGGTCTCTAGTAGGAATGAATGCCTTGTAAGTTGTACTTGGTAGAAAAAAGCTCAGATGCGCCTGTTTAAGCTTGGAGGATTCAGCTGGAGGAGAAAGTAGCTTCAGATGACAGGATTTGGAGTCTAATCTCCTGATATTTGGACATCTCACCTCTGATTGGCTAACAGCAATGTGACTTTAGCACTGACTCTGTTTGCTCTGCAACATAGATGTTTTATCTCCACAAATAACTCAAACCTGGAGGAGCATCTGCTGTGTTGTGGAGTTGCTAATGCTAATAGTTAGCTTCTACTGGTCGAGATGTTCTCTACTGTTTCCTGGATGCTAAACCAACATCAGCCTTCCCCGTCATGAGTCAAGAGGGCAGCAGCAGCTCAGGAGGTATGCGTGAGTCATCCGGTAATTGGAAGGTAGTAGGTCTGATCCTGGGTTAGGGCTCCACAGAATGCTGCTGTTGTGTCCTTGGGCAAGACACCTAACCTGTCTTGCCTGCTGGTGGTGGTCGGAGGGACCGGTGGTGCCAGTGTTTGACAGTCTCGCTTCCATCAGGGTGCCCCAGGGAAGCTGGGGCTACATTGTAGCTCATCATCACCACTGTGTGAATGCATGTGTGAAAGAAGCTCCTTGGGGTTTGTAGATCCTCTAAGAAGGCGCTTCTTGGTGGATGAGTCCATGCAACAGCTTGACCTAGAGCAGTCAGGCTTTTCAAATCTTAGAGTTTCAGCATCTATTTCCCATCAGAAGCTAAAACAGGTTTAACGAGTTAATTTACATGTTATTTAATGAGCCATAAGACATACGATTCCATAGTAAATATGAAATCAACCTTATGGATCTGTGGGTACTTTTTTAACCAGAAGATTGGAACTTTTTATTGCAGGGATTATGTAACAGCTTCGTATTAACTCTGAGACAACGGAAGAGAGAGTCAAGTTTTAAAAGTTTAAAGATTTATTACTAAACAAATTAAAACTAGACTAACTTTAAACACTAAATGTATGGTGTAACTAAGGTGAATGAGACGGAGAATGGTGTAATGTGGAATGTTGTTCAGAACCAGCAAATCCAAAGAAACGATTAGTTCTGGTGGGAATGAAGGCGATGTCTTGAGCTAAGCTTTGATTAGGAGATGCATAAACACATGAGACGCCATGTTGTCGCTCCACACATACCCTTAGGATGAGACCTCCGTACAGATCCAGAATGCCAGGTCCTCGAACCCCTCTTTCGGTACCGGAGCCGATGAAACAGCGTCAGCAGTACGACAGACTAGTCTTTCGATTGTCTCCAGGTAAAAAGCGACAGTTGGTTGACAGCGTCAGATAGATGTTTATCATTTTGAAGCACTGCCATGAAACAAAAAATCAGGTCTAACAACTGTGCAAATCACTGGAAATCAAAGTAAGAGCTCTTGCTTTATAAATCACAAATGTACTAAATGACAGATGAGTGTAGTCATGAAGCTAAAAGTCAAGTCATTATCCCGATCCTGATGCAGCACTGGGTGTGTGGGAGCAGCTGCTGGTGTGAGAACAGCTGTGTTGGTGACCCAGAGAGCGGCATGGTCACTGAGAACTTCAAAAAACACTCAGACAGACTCTACAGCTGAAATGTAAACCAGGGGATATCACTGCTTACGGCAGGTGGCCTCAGACACAAACAACGTTCACTTTCCTGGGTTTATTTCTTTATTTCTACTAATTTACCTACGAGTTTGTTTTTGGTTTTCACTTTGAGAACGATTTCTCGGTTGCATAAGTGTTTTATGCTAGCTTTAATCGGAAGAAAACAAATTAAGTCACAGTTTCGGTGTTTTGTCTGAGAATATTTGGATCGACAAAGTGACCTACGGCGTGCACACTGTGTTTTCTGTTGTTCAGCCTAGCAGCAGCAGAGTTAGCACTGTGGGCTACGGTCAGAAATCAGTGTTTATCCGAATCGACAAATTGTCCCAGTCACAAACATGAACACGTAGATGGCCATGGGCGTCACACCCGTGGGGGATGTGGGGGGACGCAACACCCACACTTTTCTTATTGAGATCGTTCAACTGACACCCTCACTTTTCCAGCTGTTTTGCTCACCTCCACACCAGTCTGGTTTCTTTACGTCGCACTCACTCTGTTTGCCTCATCTCCTTCTTCACCTCCCGCTTCTGACAGCCGATGTCGGGTTTCCAGGAGAGCAGGAGAGGGAGGGATGGAAGAGCTCGACTGAATTCATAATTTTACATCTTGACCATAGACTGTACATTCTTGACATTAGCTGTACAAACTCTGAGTTTGATGAAGTGAAGAACAACAATTTGCAGAGGTTTGTAACAGGCGCGGCGCCAGGTTTTCTATTTTGGACGGACCTTAATAAGCAGTGACTTAAGTGAAGCAGGCAGGTCGCGCTAGAAAGTTTCCTTTAAAAAGACGTCATAAATGTGTTCCCCCGTCATTTTTATTTCTAAAATATGAAGTAAAAACTCCCAATTTAATTTTCATTCATTTGTCATTAATATGTAGTCTACACCTGTGCGTTAAGTGGACCATCTTCCAGTGAAAGCAAAGCATCCAGCCCATCTCTCCAAATGCGTAAAATGTGCACCACAGCCGTTAGGCGCGCCGCGCGCACCGTCAGCTACGTCAGCCCAGACAAGAGCAGAGCAAATAGAGAAAGAATAGAGGATAATTGTGTCTGGATGTGGATGGAGATTACATTTTACAGCAGCCTGATCATCATTTAAATACGTAAACCATCACCTGTCTTCTAGTCCACGCCATCAGCATTATTTTAATTGGTGTGTGTGTGTGTGTGTGTGTGTGTGTGTGTGTGTGTGTGTGTGTGTGTGTGTGTGTGTGTGTGTGTGAGCGGCTGGATTATTTAATAAAACTCTATTCTAATCTGTATTTACAGAGCCTCTGTTTTGTTCACTAATGAATTCTCACATCTGTGTTTATGTGTTTGCTTCACCAGTCAGCTGATTAGCACGCCAACACTGTGCTTTAGACATTTTTATTTGAATGTGTGTGCGTGTTTTTAATGAGTTCGTTTGTGTGTGTCTGTTGCAGCAGACGTACCTCTTGGTGCTTACCACCTGACAGAGGACAAGAAATTAATCACCTGCTGTTCTGATCTAAAAATAACTCTCCCCTCTATAGGGGAGCATGCTGATAACATGTGCCCGTGTTACTGAGTCCAAGTGTCACATACGTGCTCCACTACATCAGTTAGTTTATAGTCTGCAAACTGAATCTAACAGTATATATTCATATTTAAAACATTAATAATGTTCTAACTTTCAGGCCTTTTCACGGTGTTAGACTTTGCACCTCAAAGTGACAAAACCGAGTATTTTAAATGCAAAGTGACAAAATAAATCTCAGAATATCTTGTTATTCTTTCTGTGTGTTGTGTAGCATTGTGAATGCATCTGAGACTGTTAAAGCCTGCTTGTTATTTCTCATGCGTTCACCTGGGGAACAATCGTTTTGAGTAGAAAACATCATTTTCTGGTGAACCTTTTAATGTTAAATTCACAGAAACATCTCAGCTTCTCATCCCTCTTTAGGCTGAACGAGGCCTCGGTCAGTCACATCCACTTGCTGTCATCGTTTTTCTCATGTTGTTTTCCCAGCGAGCCACACCTGTTCAGTTATAAATAAAACGACATAAATATCTGAGCTGTTATTTTATTTAGTGTAAATTGTTAATTTCTCCCTAAAAATAAAGACACATTAATAAGTGAACAAAGGTAACAGTTCATGGTGTCAGCAAATAGCAGCTTTTTGTTTACTTCTTGCATCATTATCGTGTTTTTTTTTCTATTTAGGTTTTATTCCCTATGGATTAAAAATTCTCATGTCTAGGTGCTTTAGGCTTCACTTCCTGTGTTCCTCCTTCTAGCTTTTCACACTTTGTTCTCCTGCAGGCCGATGATGTGTGAAGGATGTTAATGTGTCTGTCTGCCTGTCTACAGCGAATGGTACCTGAATGGAAACTACCTGGTCATTATCTTGTCTGTGACGGTGATATTGCCCCTGGCTCTGATGAAACAGCTGGGTAAGTGTGTGAATTTCACATCCTCCTCACGACTACATCAGTGCTGCTGTTGGGAGCTATAGCCGCTCCGATTATTTAACATTAGGTCATGCAAGTGTCTGCAAGGTCTAACATTAAAATGCAGAGTGTGCTGAGCCAAAACGGGCTGTAAGTGACATTTTGAGACAATACTTTATTTTAGAGTTGCATAAATTCAATAACGGACTCAAAACACATTTTTATGTGGACTTTTGTTAAAAAAATGCAACTTGCATTTTTTTTCTTTGAATACATTTCTCACAGTTTGCCATGCTTTTATGGCAGCTCAGAAGGGTCAAATTGATAAGGTGAAAGATGAGGATAAACCCACAGACACACGTAAACGCCCCGCGGCCTGGCGCTGCCTATTGTAGCTTCTGTAGTGGCCGGCAGCCATCTTGGATGAGTCTCCATTCGCCCCCACTGCATTTTTTTTCTACTGAGGAAGGTGCTTACCCAAATAAAAAACACATTTACTATGCTTTTAAAAAAAGCAGACATAAGGTATGGCATGACAGTTAAAATAGAAATATAATTAAATAAAACATATTTTTTAAATTTTTATATAAAATCCCAACAGGTAGGCTAGTAAAGTCCCAGAAAAGTCCCACGTGATCTGTTTTCAATAGGGCGCTGTATGTTGCAGCCGTAGGCTGTACAAAAGACAGGCAGTCGCTCACTCTGCGTTGACTCCAGTCGGGTTTGAAGAGTGAGGAGACCCATCCAATATGGCACCCAATGGGGCATCTACGCATTCATGTCTATGGATAAACCAATGTGTTGTATTTTTAATTTGCCACTTGATGTCACTAAATGCCACACACTGCTTATTCATACCAAATGGAGAACTAGGAATATTAATAACTAGAATCAAATGAAAACCAAATGATGCAACACTTTACAGGTGATGTTTAATATCGACTTGTGGACCTTTAGATCTAGACTCAGGCAGATTTGCTGAGAGACGAGGACACTTAATCTGAGGGGACATGTGTCGCTGTTTCCCAGATTTCAGCCTCATTCTTTTGCCCAAGAGTCAGATTTATAAAAACAAACATACAGATTAGCTTCAGTACAGCAGAGCGAGCCCACCGGTCCAGGAGTCGACTTTTATGTTATTCTCTTAAACGTGTGATTTTTCTTATTTCATTACTTTCATTCTTCCAAAGTGGCCTCGGTCTCCCTTTATAATAATAATAATAATAATAATAATAATAATAATTATTGTTATTATAACAACAATAATAACAATGATGGTGATGATGATGATGATAATAATAATTTTTATTATTTTTCAATAATGAGTGGTTTTTCATCCTCAGATGTTTTATTTGTGTGGATTTATTCTGTTTCAGTATTAAATAGTTATAATTATAAATGTTGCCTAGGTGATCAGCTTTTGTTTAACTAGATCTTCACAGATGAAAGAAGAAAATTGGTTGAATTGTTGGTTGAAAATGGGCTGTGGGTGCATTCTGGGTAATCTTTTGTTGAGAAGTCCGACCCCAGAGCCCTCAGCCTGGTACCACACACATTTAGAAGGATGCATCACTGTGACAGATAGAAAACGTGACCTCTGAGTGATTTTATTTCAGGATACCTGGGCTACACCAGCGGTTTCTCTCTGAGCTGCATGGTCTTCTTCCTCATCGCTGTAAGTCTCTGATCATACGTGTAAAACATCACATGTTGCTTCCTGTCCCTCGTCCGCTAGCTGCTGGAATATCAGAGATGCACTTCCCGGCACTCTTCAGTATTCTCTCCTCTCATTGGACTAATGTTTGCACGCTGCAGTTTCAGGCTGTGCTGGTTGTCTGGCTGTCTCTGACCTAGTTTTGGCTGTGTGAGCTGTAACCCATTCACTGCTCTACCTACCCGTCTCTCTCTTTGCTTTGCTTTGCTCATTGACATACTTTCTACCATTCTGCATTATAACCACGTCCTACAGCCTTGTGTTTCAGCCTAACGCCTCTGGTTTCTGCACTGCGCAGGTCATCTACAAGAAGTTCAACGTCCCCTGTCCCTTTGTGGACTTTGCCTTTAACAGCACTGGCAGCGAGCTGAATGTCAGCAGCAGCGGCCATGGCGGGGAGGAAAATCCAGCGTGCATACCTAAGATGGCCAACCTCAACATTCGAGTAAGGTTTATGCACGTGACTCCGTGTGAATATGCAAGGCCACCTGCACTGCTCTGACCACTGACAGCCACCCACTGATGTCATCAGCATGTTGCCAGTTCCTCCTCACAATCCAAGCATGGAAACGCTCAGCTAGGAACAGATCAGACGCTTTTATTTGATTTTTCCACTAAATGATTTTATGTACAGTAAGTTTCTTAAATTAGACCTCCAAGAACCAAAGAGAACTGATACGATTGAAAATAAAACCTTTTAAAATTCTCTTTCTAACTCCTTAAACATTCATTTAAGAGCAGCAGCTGATTTTCCTGATTTGATGAACTCCTATCAGATTCGGATTAGCATCTGTGTATTCGTTCCACTCAGGCTGACAGGAAGCATTCCCCTCTGCTTGGCACTTTACAACCCAGGCATTTTAAAACAGGCCGGTTAGCTGCCAGGCCCGCGTTAATCACAGGAAACAATTAACTCTGTGTGATGCGTCAGAGGGAGTAACGGGCAGTAAAGTGTGAGGTCGGTGGTAAGACGTCTGGGATGGCGCTGCTGTATCTATGGTGACCTGTTGGGGTTCATTTGCAGACGGCCTACACCATTCCCATCCTGGCGTTCGCCTTTGTGTGCCACCCTGAGGTCCTCCCCATCTACACAGAGCTGCGCAAGTATGTTCCCATGATGGAAAACACATTTTGGATTTAAAAAAAGAAGAAGTCAGTTTTATGAATAAATCCGAAATGCCTGCTTCGTGCTTTGGTTTCCATTGTTATAGTCACAGGCACAGCTTTCACTTTATTTTGAAAAGTCTGCACTGCTTGTGTGGTGTAGCATGCTGTTAGCTTAAATGTATCATCCTGCTTTGAACTGCTGCCGCTTATTATCCTGAAGCCATTGTTGGATTTCCTATTGAATCTTTGCAAACTTCTGTAAAGAAATGTTGCTGCGAGGCTGGAGACGAGACCGGCAGTATCAACTCATAGACGTGTGTGGTGTGTTTTAAAAGCGCGTGTGTGTGTGTGTGGTCACATGGCAACATGTTCTGATTTCAGTGCCACCAAGAAAAAGATGCAACACGTGTCCAACATCTCCATTGCAGTGATGTACATCATGTACTTCCTGGCAGCTCTTTTTGGATACCTAACGTTCTACGGTGAGGAAAGCCTGCCGAGTTCATCTCTGATTATTATTGACTCTGTATGGATTAAAAAAACCTCATAAAACCCTTAATTATGTGCCACCATCATTATTAATTAAAACACAGGATGGTTTTAGTTCAAAACTCTGCTAATTTGTAAAAATAACATTTGACTGAGTCTTAAAATTCAATTCAATTCAAAGATACTTTATTAATCCAAGACGGACATTAGAGTTTCAGTACACACAATTCTGAGATCAGACATACATACATAGGCAAAGACATGTGACAAGAATTGGTGACTGTGGTCATTCGCAACCCGAGTCGCACTACCTTTATAGAAATCAGAGGGGTTTACATGAGGATTGGTTCAGGTGGAGGGAAAAAAAGGCAATTCAGAGTTACCATCCACAGGGAGGGCAGCTTTGCTATGCAAAAACACCTCAGACAGAGATGCAACAGACTTCAGACATTACACAACATGAGTGTCCACTAGGTGAGGTGGTAGGGTTTGGGACTCTCCACACGTCAGTGAATGCAGCCGCGATGAGCAGCGCTCGTCACCTCAGTCTGGACAGGGGGAGGGAGGTCGTTGGGTTTAGAGAGCACAGTGACTCCTGGAATGATTCAGCGGCCTTCACCGGTCGCAGTCCCACCCATGCAGGCTGGGATAGGGAGGCAGAGTTGCCATGGCGATAGCTGCATTCCACATTTCTTCGGGGGGTGGGGGGTGGGGGGTATTTGTTTCAGCCTCACAGGTTCAAGGGCACCAGCTTCAGATAAGGATTGTTTTGGGGACAGACAGAGATCATTTCCTCTCTACCTTAGAGTTCTGTTGGTCATCAACCCCTCTAGATCCAATACTGGCATAATTAATCTATCCCAATCCGTGCTGATCCATCAACTCGCTCCTTGATCGCATCCATCTTTTGTGCCAATGCATGAATCTCAGCCAAAGTTCCAAGCTTACGACTCATCTCGACAATTATATGAGTCTGTGAATTCACAGCGCGGTGCAATCCATCCCTGAGCTCCGGGAAAGAGCCAATATTCCTCGAAAGCTCTTTAATTTTCTAGTAAGCCAGGTGACCTCCCAGGCCAAAAAGCAGGAAACCTGACACCAACACCACGACTATCCACACGTCTTCAGAATCCTCTACAGACAGTTGAGAGAGGCATATCAGGTTCCACTGTTTCCAGGAGTCCATGATATGCCCAGCTGGATCTGTCCCAAAGGGGCATCTGGGAGCCCCTTCTCCCTTTCTCATCGATGAGAAACCGATGAGATTATGAAGCAAAAATATTCATAATTTAAGTGCCTGTAAATAAAAAATGCACAAGATTGTTCATTTTCTTCTAAATGCAGCAGTCTGAGCAGTTTATTGACAGTCTGCACGTCGGCTCAAACACAGCAGTGGAAGACTTTTGCACGTTGTGAAACGTTACGTAAATATAATAAAAAAAGTAAAAGGAGAAGTCACCGCTAATCATGTAGAACAGTGTGAACGTCCATGAAATCACTCTAAAATGAACATTTCTACATTTTAACAGTTAAAACAAATAATGAAGGAATGAATGAATAGATTTATTTAGATTTTGCATTATACCAGTGTTGTCACTTAGCAATTATAGGTTATCAGACAGATCTATCGAAATTGGAATGGACTGAAGCTGATGCTTATTTTGTCCATCCCAAGTGTCCTCTTGATAAATACAAATAATTTTTCAAGATAAAGGTAGAAAAATAAAATGCAAATAACGTAAAGAAATAATATAATATAATATAATATAATATAATATAATATAATATAATATAATATAATATAATATAATATAATATAATATAATATAATAAATTCAACAAACTCCTGAAAACTTAACTGTTTAACCCAATCATTTAAAGCCTGTTCATTTATTTTACTGTCTCCTTCTCTCTGATTGTAAAGCGTCTTTGAGTAGTGGTTAAAAGCACTATATAAAACCTCTGCATTATTATTATTATTATTATTATTATTATTATTATTATTATTATTATTACCAGTAATATGAAATATAAAAAATGATAAAATTAAAGATAAAGCCACATATTTGGTTTATTTTCCATTTTAAAAATAAAATAAAAATTAATAAGACATTAAAACCAATACTAAAAAATCTAATTGTTAATGAAGCACTAATAGAAGGCTAAAAATCAAAGATTGATTAAATAATAGTAGAAAATTATATACATAACATTTATAACTAACAATACAACTAGCATGGAGATGTAGCTTTAATACTGTAATGCAGAGTGTGATAAGAGTTATATATGTAATCCTGCTATGAATCACAACTATAATTGTAATGAGTGGGTTATTCATTTGTGCTTCGGTTAGTTGATCTTTTTTTTATAGATTTGTTTTCAAAAGAATAAAAAAGCTTCAGTTTTTAAGTTACTGTGTTTTCCAACTCATCCATGATGCACGCCTGCACCCTAGTGGCCACCTTCTGACACCATTTAAAGAAATAAGTCTGCTGTTACAAATAAATAACCCAAAGTGTCCCTTCCTTGCTCTGTGTGTGTTTCTGTTCGCTTCTGCAGGTAAGGTGGAGGCGGAGCTTCTGCACACGTACAGCCGCATCGATCCATACGACACTTTGATTTTGTGTGTGCGCGTGGCTGTCCTCACTGCCGTCACACTCACCGTGCCCATTGTGCTCTTTCCTGTAAGTGCAGCGATGGCGTTTGCTGTTGTTTCACTAACACGCCCACGGTTGTTCACACAACACTTTAAAAATAACGTTCCTGTTTTCCATCAGGTGAGGAGAGCAATCCAGCAGATGATGTTCCCCAACAAAACCTTCTACTGGCCTCGCCACATCGCTATAGCCATGTGTCTGCTCACGTTTATCAACATGCTGGTCATCTTTGCCCCCAACATCCTGGGCATCTTTGGGGTCATTGGTAGGTTGAAGCGGTCGTGGAGGCAAAACGACTCATCTTTAAAGACTTTTCACCTTTTTTCAGTTTATTTTTCAAACACTGGCTGCAGGATTTACCAACTTAATCATTTAAAGTGGGTTTATGTGTGCGTGTTTTCCAGGTGCCACATCTGCTCCATGTCTCATCTTCATCTTCCCTGCTGTCTTCTATATTCGTATCGTACCCAAAGAAGAGGAGCCGCTTTGCTCTGTCCCAAAAATCCTGGTGAGCATCTCTTGGAAAGTCCCTTGAATTTGTTTAGGTGTCTAATGGTGAGAATGAAACACTTCGATTGCAGATGTGCAGAAGTAAGAAAAAAATATAGTTTCCTACAGACGTTAAGATTACCGTGGCTATACACTCGTCCTCATCTGGAAAAAGCAAAGACAGTAGATCTGTGTGAGTCATTTAAACGATCTCTTCAGATTTTGCACATCTGGAATTTACCCCACAAATATGACTTTACTACATGTGCACAACTTTCATAAACATGGGTGCTGATTTCTCATTTTAAAGGTTCCATATCACGAAAAATCAACTTTTTGGAGCTTTTTACCATGTTGCATTATTTCCTCATGAGAAATACCCCCAAACCCTTTTTGGCTGCATTCATTCACTTTCCTTGTCTCAGCGGCAAAGTGGTCGATGTAAAGATTTTTCCTGCAAACGGAGAAAACTAGCCCATTTGCATCACCGGGCATTTCTCCTCCCCATGAACCTGATCTGGTCTCGGTTCTGAAACCTTCTGCAAGGGACAGACACGCACGGATTGATGGAAGCGTTTTGCTTTCATACTTCTCCGTCTCCTGGGGAGTGTTGCAAAGCAATTCCTCGCCAGGACAACAGAGGGCGTAGCGCTGTTCTGTGGTATCCTGTCATGTATCGGTCCAAGATAGTGTGTTTATATTGTGTTTTTTGTGTATATAAGAGACTTTTAACACGGACATATTTGTCTCTCATTCTCCTCCACCTCGTCATGCGCTCGCCACCTCTAAACCCACGTTTCCTGTCATTTCCGTCCACAAATAAAACGCTTGCTGTAGACCTTTTCACCCCTCCAGTTACGGGGAATTAAACGTTCGTATTTTAGAGTTTTTTTGCGAGGTATTCTTCAAGCTTATCCATGTCTACCGCTAGTTATCCTCTGCTCTCTTTATGTTTTTGAGGGTGCAATGGCAGCAGTGTAGACGACAGCGGCGTCCTGACCAATCACAAGCTTGCGTTCTCCGTCTCGACGGACGGATGTTTAAAAAAGTGGGCTCGACTCCGTACATACTTGCGTGCCTACCAGGGCCCTACGCAAGGACGGATAATGGAGTTGCGTGTCCACGCACTGACGCAGACGGAGAAGCATGACTCAGGCTGCTGCTGTAGGCGTGTTTTGTGGGAGCGGGTGTGGACGGAGCTTAGATGAAACAGACCGTATCATTTCCGGGCATAAATTCAGCCTGATGAAAATAACTCTTATGTAAGACAAACAACAGTGCTAACGGTTATATTTGATTGTTTATTCTGCCTACCTTTGCTCTAGAAATAGCACGGTCTGGCCTCTTTAATGAATCTGGCAGGGCCGGATTTAGCCAGCCCTACAAAGGGGGGCAGGTAGATTATCAGGGAGTGCAGGTCTGGGAAATAATTTTTCGGGTGTCACATACCCCCCAAATCCCTAAAATGCGTAGAAAACGATGCTATCATCATTACAGTTCTTCTATCCATCTATCTTTTCAGCCATGGTCTGTCACGATACCAGGCAGGGAAAATGAGCGCATGTTCTTCCCAAAATGGCACTTGGGGAAAACAAGAGCGGTGGGTTTGGGACGGTGCGCTACTGTTCAGGCCTGTGTCACCCACAGCGACGGCTGGGTTGGTAGTGACGGGGACAGCAGGAGGGACTGTGGTGCTTGTGCAACTGGTTGTTCCAGTACTGCCCTAAACACGGGGGGTTGTGGTGAGTTGAGAAGCACCGACGAGCCGGCTTATGCCGCTAGTGCCTTAGCACTGTTGAAAGGTTTAGAAACCAGAAACCTACGCACATCGACTCGATTCACTTCAAAAACAAATGAAAGAAGAGAACAAGGCAAACTAAAACCATGAGAAAGAGTAACCAAATTATTCCAGTGACCAACAGCAGAAGAAAACTTCAACCAGTGGCTGCTGAGCTCAGATAACAACGGTGCGTCTCTGTGTTCTGCTGCTGACTGTCTGGGAGCGTGTGAACTGTGAAGCGAGTGACACGACAGAGAACGAGGTGCAGTGGCTGGCCACGCCCTCCCTATGCATCTACCAATCAGCAGCTACTTTGAATGAGAGAGAGAAAGAGAGAGAGAGAGAGAGAGAGTGAGAGAGAGAGAGAGAGAGCTCTCTGACCCCTTTTCATCAAATCTTTTCAAATTTGGGATTTCTACATGTCATCGCATTTGGGGGGGCAGTCAGTATTTTTAGGGGGGCACTGCCCCTCCTTGCCCATGCCTACATCCGGGCCTGGTATCTGATTTTATCTGGGTCAAAACTGAAGCTGCCTGTGAAAATGTTGCCCTGTAATATTGGTTAGCTCAAAAGTAAAACCCTTAGAACAACACTTATCACCAGAGAATTAAAGAACGCAAAATAACATCATGAGGGCTGAAACTGCACAAAAGTCCCTACCTTCACACACGTCTCTGCTTCTCTTTCAGGCCGCCTGTTTTGCTGGGATTGGTTTCCTATTCATGATCATGAGTCTGAGCTTCATCATCGTCGACTGGACATCGGGCAGCAAAACCACCAGTAGTGGTCACTAGACACCTTCTGTTGTTATTATTTAGTTGCTATGGGCTTGTGTTGTAACCTCTCTGTTTGTAAGTTTAATCCAGATCCTCTTTTCTCTCCGATTGTATCTGCTACAGATACTACAGGTCACAGGGTGGCGTTGGGGGAGGGGCGTGTATCTCCCTTCTCTGAACGCTCTTATTCTGATAGGGTGATGTCACGTTGTGCATCCTGCCAAAGGGTGACCGAAGCCCCAGGCCGGTACACTTCAAAGAGAAGTTAAACCACTCGAACGCCAGTTAGCAAATAGACGTGATTTTGTTGAGCTTCTGGCTCCTCTTACAAGGTTTTCCATTATGATAGCACTTATTATGCACAAAATCGGACACGTCTCCTTTGTAGCTGCTAAATTAAATTGATTGATAATCATTTTTGTATTTTGTGAGCCCGTTTTTTTCCTAAAAAACACTGACGTGCCGCTGCAGAAGCCAATGTAGCAGACAGTAGAGAGTTAGAAAACGGGTGATGAGTTGAGCTTAAAGACTGAATGCTCATTAACCACGGGCCACGTTAGGGCTCTCTGTTACTAACCTGTGCTGCTGATCTTTAATGTATTTCTTGTGGGATGTCAGTATTTCCTTTTGTAACTGAGCAGGGTTTAAAACCACAAAGCACATTTCCTGTAAGAAATAACCTAAATGTACATATGTTTTTATGAACGCCTCAGATAATGAAGGATAAACCGATGGGAGGAATCTGAGCAGTCAGGCGGTTGTGCGAGCAGTTCTTTCTCTTTTTTCCAGTATTACCTTAGAAAGGACCGTCAGAAATGGTACAGAGGACCCGAACGCACGAACTAAAGAGATAACTGCAGGACCTGCTGCTCGGCGATTCACCTCATCGAGTCGCGGTGATTTGATGAGTTGTTTCTAAGCATTTTTCTGCTAGTAATCAAAGGTAACCAAATGTATTAAATGAAGCAAAAGCAGCAGGTCACTTCCTGGGTGTCAGATGTGTGACTGGGAACATTAGCACAAGTTTAAATCCCGACACTAATGACAGATATCACATGTCTGTCTCAATCATGGGATGGCAGTGTGGTAATAAAGCACTTTTTCCCTTTGATAAGCACAATAATGGTAATGATGTGAGATCTGAAACAGCTCGCTGTAAAGGCTGGTGTTGAACACGATTTGATTAATGTTTCTGGAGCGCTCATGAACTCACCCTGTCATTTCCTCTGAATGCATCTGTTCACCGTGCTGTTGGAAGGTTTTAAATGTCCACGTATTTTAAAGCTGACTGATGTATTTGAATGATTTCGTGTTGTTTGACCCACACCTGCAGTACTCAAAGTGTAACCCTGGTGTTTGTATTCTGCTGTTAATAGAAGAACTGTTGTTTTAACGTCATGTTTATTTGGTCATATCCAGTGGATCAGATTCAGCCATAAAACTATGATAGGATTGTTCCACTATAAATATTTTTTCTTACAGTTGTATTTTGTAGTCTGTGGTTTATCTTCGGTGGTTTTCAGTCGAGTTTGTCTTCCTTCGCTGCTCATCAGCAGGCACAAACCTACATTTCATTATTTTTGATGATGCACCAGAATACTTACTGTCTTGTCCGTTTAATACATTAAAAACAATCTCTATAAGAAGTTTGTTATTTTTTATAAATTTGTGTGCAGAGAAATAATCTGAATCAGCCACTGAAGCACAACTCGGCATGTTCAACTAATCTGTGGTCATTTTTACTCCCAGTTGCCAGTTATTTTATTTTATTTTTATCTATTTTGATTGTTTGTATGTTCCAGTGGTGCAAACAGACATATCCTCACAAAATGCAAATAAATAAATAAAATAAATAAAAAATAAAAACAAGCTAAAAACAATTAAACAAAGCAACAATGTGTGTGGTAAAACTGTTAGTGGCTGATGCAATGTGATCTCTGAGGACCTCTGTGTAGATGTTGTTAGCCTTGTTGATTATGTGATCTGTTGTATGACTGAATAGTAACATATTAAATAATGACATCAGCCAGCATTTATAAATAATGTATATAAATGTATACCCTTTATATTCTATATTCATATCTATAGTTTATATAATGTAAATAGCAAATAAAGATTTAGTCCAAATAAAAAAAAAATATAAATGTATTCATTTTCAAAGTGCTTTTAAACCTTGTCCTTCAATTCATGTCTATTTTCATGTATCTCTATATATTTTAATATGTTGCTGGCAGTTATTGTACTGTTTATGATGCTGCATTAAAGATAATGACGTAACATAAAATTCTTATGTTTTGTTGCTTTTTAGCAGTTTAAAGTATTTGCATTTTGTAAATTATGTATTCAATATTCTGCAGATATTTTTATGTGGTTTGAGTCTAACGAATGCGTTTCTGCAATGCCATAGCAGTCCAAAGGGTGGCAGTATTGAGCTTTGAGTTTGCGTGATAGTGACAACGTCATACTCTAAGAATAACGTGAACTGCTTGCCCTAGAAATTAGTTAATTGATTTTTCCCATGTGAAATCTTTAAACAATGACTATGTATACATCAAACAACCATTCACTTCGTTAATTCCACAAACTCACTTAAATCTCAACGACAACCTCAGTGTAACTAAAGGAGAGGACTTTGAAGTGAATGTAACATTTTACGATTTAGTTTAAATTGCTGTTACAATACAGAAACAATAGATAGATTGGGAATATGTTTTAACTTTTAAACTACAACGGATTTGAAGCAATTTGACGTCAGAAGAAAAGCACTCATCACCCCTAATTTCCTCAAACTATCACCAGGTCAAATCCTATTCCCAGTTTGTGTCATGCCAAGACGTGGTCAGAGACGGACATTTCTCACAACTATCGAAAGAAAAAGTTTGACAGAATTCTGACTCCATTTCCCAAAAATCCATTGGGGGTAGGTGGAGCTTTTAGAAAGTATCTGCTCCTTTTAAAAGAACCGGTACGTGATACAGCTAAGATTCTCGAACCCAGACTGTCAGTTGCGCCACAAAGTGCGCTGTAGATAAAAAAGAGCAGACCCGATCTCAGCGGAGGTTGGTTCTGCAGCTGCTGGGTTGGGGAGGTGACGGCGGCGCTGTCTCTGTATTGTCGGGCGAAGGGAAACTTCACGGCGGCTACGGGTGTGGCTTCAAACGTGATAAATCTCCACCGTGGGGAAAGAATGCGCTACGGTTGTACAAATTAAGAAAAGACAGGGTCGACTAAGCCCCTCTGAGAAGTGGTGAGTGAGAGCCCGGTAGCGCTAGCAGTTTTACGCTCGGGTTTTAAACAGCTGGAGTACTTTTAAAGCTGAACTTTGGCCGTTTTAACCTGCTCTGATGGTCCGCTGTGAGGACTAGCTAAAGGTTCACCAAGAAAAGTTACCAACGCTACTTTTTCTGCCCTCTGATGTTGACCAACTGAGCGTTTTGGGGTAATTTCGAACCTTTAATTTGGAGGAGACCGTGTTCCTTTTTTTTCTTTTCTTTTTCTGTATTTTCTCTAACGGATGAACGGACGTCGTCACCTTTTTTTTTGGGCACAATTGACCATAACGGGAAGTCGTCTTGCTTTTAAGTCAGTGGATCCGTGAATTTTTCTATAGATACATATTTTTTTTTTCTCGGTAAATTTTCCCACTAAGCAGCAGACCTGAAGCGAGCACTGGGAAACATGGGTTGTACGGTTAGTCAGGAAGACAGGGAGGCGGCCGAGAAGTCTAAAATGATTGACAAAACTCTGAGAGAAGATGGAGAAAAGGCGGCGAGAGAAGTGAAGCTGCTGCTGCTGGGTGAGCACACACACACACACACACACACACACGCACACGCACACGCACACGCACACGCACACACGCACACACACACACACACGGATGCTAAAATGCTTCTAATTACCAGATCTGTCAGATAGAAAATCCTTCAGTAGATTGAAGTTTAAACCTCATCTCCTGGTGAGACAACCATGGCAGCGTTTTGAGAAGTTATCTTGCAGCTCATTGCTTTGCCTTCAGTCAGAAATACTGTGACACCAACGTAAGGGCTGCTCTGGCGGTGCTTGGGAAAGTTTGGAGTAGCAACAAAAACTCTGTGGAGGTCTGTCCAGCAGGCCAGTTTTACAGCATGCTCAGTGAGGGTAGTATTGTGAAATAGTTGGAAGAACAAACAAACAAGAACCAGACCAGGTTTGCAGTGGTTTCCTCTCTGCAGGACTTGACTGAGAGGGTCAAACTTGGCTGAATCTGGTTTATTATGAGCAAGCAGGCGATTGGATTGAGGGTGAACCGTCTTGCCAGTTCTCAGCTTTACACACACACACACACACACACACACACACACACACACACACACACACACACACACACACACACACACACACACACACACACACACACACACACACAGGCTTCGTACGAGATTCTCAATTCTTTAAATTCTAATTTTGACTCATTTTCTTGTATTTACAAGTGAAACAACACACTCAAACGAAGAACATGTGCTAATGAGATTCTTTTTCCTCATCTTCATTGATTTAAACCTACGTTACAGCAGTCGCTCGCTGCTGCCAGTGCCAGGTTTTAAACCATCTGCTGTTAGAATAAGCAGCGATTTTCACTGAAGACGTCCAGCTGAGCATAAAAACCTGCGATACCAATCCTCCGAGCAGAAAAGAGAAGGAATTGCTCTGATTCTGAAATGTTTAGAGCTATGTCGGATGTGTTATTGAGAGGTTTTGGAACGATGTGGAAAGGATTGTTTAGTTCTGAGTGGATTGGGTTTCTGCATCTACTCAGAATGTTGAGGCAATTCAGGGGAATATTTGAATGAACGTTTAAACCGCCATCAGTGTCTCATTATGTGGTTATTCTGTTAAAACAATGAAATTCTGTCTGGAGGTGTCCTAGGTTGCACTGGGAATGCTAATGCTAGCTGGTGACCTGTAGGCATGCAGCTTAGCGCAGCCGTGGAAATAACTGAGCTATTACTCAAAGTTGATTCCCAACTAAAACTCAACAAGTTTCCCAGAAGTCTTTGTGGCAGAATTATACCACACTGGGAATCTGCAGAATATTTCTTGCATGTCAGGCATTTTATTTACACATTTGTATCTCAAAATGACACAAAAAGACACATATCGAATCTCTGACTTCTGCTCTGCAGCCTCGAGGCGCTCACCCCGAAGCTCAAATAGACTGTGTTGGTCTCAGAGTCACAGAATGGATTTGTCGTCATGTTTCCTGCCGGACCTCTGACAGATTGATCTTCGGTTGATGGCAAACACACCGTGCGTCTCTCTCCTGGTTGTTTGAAGAGGTGGCTGGTTAACTTGAGCCCTCATTCAGGAGGCTGATTACATACTCGGCTCCGAGGAGCAGGTTTTATATCAGTAATTACCATCCGGTGGAGTCGTTGAGGGTTTGGAGAATTGCAAGAGAGCTTTGATTTTCTGATGAAACTTGGTGAATTTGTGCCTTTTGAGGCTTTATGTCGCACAGATCAGCGGTTTCCCCTCATGCCTGCCTTCTGAGAAACATGTTCCAGCTTGCTCGTACTTGAATGTCTCGTTAAGGAGGGTTTCATCTAAATAACGACCTTGTATTTAGGGATGCACCGATCAGGTTTTTTGCTGCCGATCACCGATACCGATATCAAAGAATGCTGATCACCGATACCGATCACCGATACCGATCACGTGGATTGGCCAGAAATTTTCTACAACATTATAATGAGTGCTACAAACTACATAATCTGGGAATAACGGAAATGTAACCTAATCTAAAATGGTCTGATCGGTCTGCTTTGATCTATTTTGTAACCTCAGATCAAAACCGATAGGGGCGCTATCGGCCGATTGGGATCAAATGCCGATCCATCGGTGCATCCCCACTTGTATTACAGTTACCTGATGGGTGGATGTACAAAAGTTACAGAAAACAAGTAACGGATAAGTTTGGACTTGCACCCTCCCCACAAATAATCTATTAAAATAATAGATCAGTTTCTCCCTTTATTTCTTTTCCAGGGGATGTTTAATTTAAATGCAAGCAGTAGCTGAAGGACGTATTATTGCAGCTTACGTCTGAAATAACCATCTAGTGACGGGGTGGACAGATGTGTGGTGGAGGTGTTGCATCACACTTCTGGCTGTCTGCTGCTCTAGTATCTTCATCCTCCAGTCAGTCACAGACCGAGACCTGTCTACTTGGATCAAACTTACTCCCAGCTGAGCTGCAGCATTCTCATTTCCAGGAAGAAGCTTCATTTCTTCTTTCAGGCGCCGGAGCGGAAGCGGCGAATCTCACCGTGAATGGTTTCTGATACTCCGCGAGTCGAGGAGGTAGAACCACTGAAAACTCCCAATTAAAACGCTTCACCTTAATTTTTGAAAGAGCTGTAAGCCACCGAATGTAATTAGATGTTTCCATGGCGAGGGATTTGGCCTAATCTGTCTCACCTTAAGCAGGCATCGTGAGAGTCTTCCCCAGAAGAAGCTATTAGTTAATGTAGCGGCGAGGACTCCATGCCGTCGGAGTCTTCATTAACGGGAAGGAAGCGCTCAGTCTGAGGTTTACATGCTGGTTTTTGGATTTTGACATTTAACATTCAAGTTCATTCCCCTCGTTTCTTTTGTGTAGGACCACGCTTTCTGTTAAACACCCCGAGCAACGAGCCCGTCTCGGTTTGCAAACCAGAGAATGCGTTAGCAGAAAATATCTTTGCATGTTTCACTGTAAGCTCTATAAACTCACGACACACGTACACACACTTCCTTACAGTTTGAATTGTAAACACACACATTTGCTCTGAGGCTTGATAGGCGGTGCCGTTATGTAAATACTTTGGCACACTGACTGGAGGCATCCGTGCTTCCTGTGGACACCGTCCCCCATTTATTTGAACACTAATCTGTTGGCGTTGCACCAAAAATTCCTGCAGTTTGATTGCAATTTGAAGAAGTGTGTCGGGGAATTTGTGGCTTTTTCCCACAACTGTCTGCTTGACAGGACAGAGGTGAGAAATCATCCAGACGAGAGCCGAAATAAAGCGATTGTGTTGGAGAGCAGAAAGTCTGAGCTTGAAACGACTCGTGCAGCAGTGTCTCCTCTGAGGCTTATTGACAGGACACGCAGCATTCTCCACACATGCAGACTCGACATAGTCCGCCGCAGCCCTGGCCTCACTTTTCTCCAGGTTTCAGTGGTGATGCATTAACGGCCACATTCACTGTTAATGTTAAAACAACAGGTTATGCAATCAAGGGTGTGATTTCAGTGCTGTGACACTGTGTATGCAATAATACAGTTTCTGTGTTTGGATAGAAATGTAGCTCCATAATGCTCCCAGCACACTATTAAAATGACTTCATACAGGGCCTGTGCACCGTTTCACTTAATGCAACTTCTCTTTGGAGTGTTCACTCATCATCAAACTGCAGGATGTTAAAAATGTATTATATTGTTTCATTAAATTTTTTTAAGTTTTCTAACCTTTTGTTACAAATCAGTAAATGCATTTTGTGTCACGTGCGTGCCGGGCAGCGAGGAGGATCCAAGCGCAGGGAGCAAGAAGGCGAACAGGTGAGTCCGTTTAACACAGGTTTATTGAAGCGACACGCTGGACACTGAAACAATGACTCCACAAAGGACACAAAACAGATGGGGTTTAAATACAGGAGGACCGGGAGCTAAGGTGATTGGGAAACAAGAGGCAGGTGGGAGCAATTAATGGAGACACAGACAAAACCTAAGAGTAGACAGGACAGGACGTGACAGTACCCCCCCCTCAAAGGGCGGATCCCAGATGCCCACAGGAACCAGGAGCAGGGCGGGAGGAGGGGGACCCGGAGGGAGGGCCCAGAGGAACCGAGGGACCACAGGATAGGCGGCAGGGACCAGCAGAGTCAGGAGGCCTGCCCCTGATGCAGATGAGGAGGCGACGGGCCCTGGGAGGCCTGCGCCTGATGCAGATGAGGAGGCGACGGGCCCTGGGAGGCCTGCGCCTGCTGCAGATGAGGAGGCGAGGACGAACCCTAGGGGGCTGGCGCCTGGGGCAGATGAGGAGGCGAGGACGAACCCTAGGGGGCCGGCGCCTGGGGCAGATGAGGAGACGAGGACTAACCCTAGGTGGCCGGCGCCTGGGGCAGATGAGGAGACGAGGACAAACCCTAGGGGGCCGGCGCCTGGGGCAGATGAGGAGACGAGGACGGTCCCCTGGAGGCCAGCGCCTGCGGCAGAGGAGCCCCGCAGGCTGGGCCGGGGACACAGGCTAGACCGGTGACAAAGTCCCTGCAGGCTGGACCGGAGCGACCTTCAGAATCACCACTGGAACTGGAGATGGGGGAGACGTCAGACCACAGGCGACGTCATCGGACGAGCCGACTTCAGGGGAGGCGACGTCATCGGACGAGCCGACATCAGGGGAGGCGACGTCATCGGACGAGCCGACATCAGGGGAGGCGACGTCATCGGGCGAGCCGACATCAGGGGAGGCGACGTCATCGGGCGAGCCGACATCAGGGGAGGCGACGTCATCGGGCGAGCCGACATCAGGGGAGGCGACGTCATCGGGCGAGCCGACGTCAGGGGAGGCGACGTCATCGGGCGAGCCGACGTCAGGGGAGGCGACGTCATCGGGCGAGCCGACGTCAGGGGAGGCGACGTCATCGGGCGAGCCGACGTCAGGGGAGGCGACGTCATCAGACGAGCCGACGTCAGGGGAGGCGACGTCATCAGACGAGCCGACGTCAGGGGAGGCGACGTCATCAGACGAGCCGACGTCAGGGGAGGCGACG